ACATTTCTGCAGACTGTTCCCGGTGTTTTATTTTTAGGTTCGTGGAATAGATAGAGCACATTAGTAGTAGTAGTACGAGTAGTATTATCACAATTTTTAACAAGTACCTACTGTGTGCCGACATTAAGCTACATATACGCAGCTACATGCATTATCCAGTTTATTTCCCCCAACTGCAGAAGAGAGTTATTCTGCTTATTTTGCAAACGGAGACACAGAAAAACAAACCGACATGCCTAAACTCAGAGCTGGACGCCCTCCGCACCCCGTCCGTGTCAGAGCCCAAGCTCCCAGCTGTGTGCCATCCTCCCCCATCGTGCCTAATCTTCTAGAAGAATTGAGGATTGGAAGGTAAAAGGGGAGAAACACTATTACAGTGTGAGCCAAAAGATAAACAGCCATTAGGTTAAACAGGCTTATCATTTGTCCAATCATTTATTTTGGAAATGTGGGATCAGCCCAAATATTTCAGGAGCTCTGCAGGCAGAGGCAGTCCAGTGTCAGATTTCCAAGGGGGGAGAGATAGGATCAGAAGTGGAAACGTTATTAATTACCCAATCAACTTTCCACTCTAAATGGAAATAGCCATGCATAAATCCCCTTGATGATTTTAGGGGTAAACATTCACACCATTTTGTTCAGCACATCAGACTTCTGGCTAGAATAAATAAAACCCGAGGCCACTGTGTTGAAGCAAAGAAATTATTTTAATCTGTCCATTTTATTACAGTCCCCAAAGTAAGGACATGTTACTGAATGCCACGCTGACTTGGTCTGACATTATATAAAGCTAAATTCCAGGAGAGTGCATTTCATTCATTCACTCACTCACTCACTCATTCATTCATTCATTCATTCAATAAGGATCTACTGAGTATGTACTATGTTCCAGCGTCTCTTTCGGTACTTGGGATACATCACGAACAAAGGACAAAATCTCTGCCCATGAAGCTTACACTCTATTCACAATGACTCTTTTGTCTCTAGCATACAAAATAAATAAACACATAAATAAATCAACCTACAGTAGGAAAATCTCTGGCCTCATTTGAGAATAAACAAGAATATCCAGTCAACACAATGGCTCTGGGTCCGTTCTAATGACTTTAAATTTCAGGTATCCAGGTCGTGAAAGGCTAGCCTATTAAACAGACCCATGTGGGCTTCCAGAGATGAGTGAGCTTCTAGACTGTTATATCCATCACTTCAACTTTGTGCTCACCTTGCCATAGAAAGAAAGAAAACAATATATACTGTTGAGTGCATTGACACTATAGTTCATGGAAAGCACAGTGTAGCATTTGAGGAAGAAACCATGTTGGGTTCCATAGTATCCACTGTGAACAGAGTCCATTGGGAAGAGTTCATGAGCAACGAGTGTTGTTTGTTTTCAAGGTACCGCTTTGCTTTGAAAACATGTAGCTAATATTTTGCCTGTGGTACCCACCAGGCAGGTGTAAGAAGAACAAATATTTCTCAGGTTTTAAAAATAGTAGTATATTATAACTTGGAAGGCAAGTCCTAACATACCAAAAACCATAGATCAGTAGACTCTATTTAAAATAGAACCTCCTCAGCGCAGAAGAGGTTTCAAACATACCATTGTGCAAAATCAGGTTAAATGCTTCCCAGAGATCCTTATACGAGTCACCCTTCTGCCAAGTGCTTTCCTTTGAAAATCCTACATAAATACTTAAAAAAGTGTATTTTGCCGAAAAGATCATTCTTACTACTTCAGGCTTAGAAAAAGCTTATGCCTGCCACACTGTTCCACATTTGATCTTCCCAGCACCCCTGGGAGATGGGCGGGGCCCCTGGCATCCACAGATGAGAAATTAAGACAGCAGCGCTGCCTTCCACAGTTGTGTGCATTGCTCACTGCACAAGGGCTCCCTTGGCCTGGCACTGTGGCCACCTGGAGGAAGGAGTGTTTTTTCTCATTGGCAGAAACGGGCCCGTTTACTCTCCTCTAGCCCTGTTTACTGTGAGCTCGTGGGACAGAACGCCCGGATGATGCCTCTTTCTAATCCACACAAGGGCACTGCATAGGCTGGTGAAAACTGTTTCCCAAGGCCACCCCAAAACTGCTTTTAATGGGGACAGCACAATGACTGGAATCCAGGTCTACTGACGTCTGGTGCGTGGCTTTCGATAACGTAAGGCGAAAATCCTCACAGCCATTGGATCCTCCCAGGGATCTGTGAAGAATGTTTTTGAGTGGAAAAAATGGAAGTGTAGTATTGTCCACAGTGCTAACACTGTGCCATCACTAGGCCTTTTCTGCAAATGTTCTCCTTCCCTTTCCCCAACCCCACCTTCCAAAATGTTCCCCCCAGTCTTTACGTACCATGAGGCAGGCACTCTGCTAAGTGTTCTGTAGAATTCTTCCAGACCCTAACTGAATGCATCTATACAGGTGACCTCCGCTCAACACACAAAGCGCACAAAAACCTCCCAACTGAGCCCTGTCAACCACAGAATCATAAGAATTAAAATTCTATCATTGGTTTAAGCTACTACATTAACAAGGGTGACTTGTTACACTGCAGCAGATAACTGAAACACTGTATTTTCTCACCCTATTATACAGCAAAGCTCTACCCTTATATCAGTCACAAAAAGTCCACACAGATGAATAAACACTGAGAGAAATCTGTGGACAAAATAATACAGAGATTGGATGAAGGGAATAGCAGAGTTGATTCTGAAACATTTTACTCCGTCAATACAATTGGTTGTCTGTATCCAACCTATTACGGATTAAAAATAGTACAAAAAAAAAAAATCCCAGACAGTTCCAATAAGCAAAACTTGAATTTGCCACACACTGAGCACTATGCTGAACCTATGCAAATGAAGTCATGTATAGGCACACCCTACGGTAGCCTATATGCAAGTATAGTTTATATGCAAATACTATGCCATTTTTTATAAGGGACTTGAGCACCTGCAGATTTGGGTATGGGAGCAGGGGGTGGTCTTGAAACCAATCCCCAGGGATACCAGGACTTCAGGAGGCCTCCCTGCTATATTCAATCACAGCACCATGAACTTTTCCTATTTAAATACACATCATGAATTGAAATTATGTTCATTTGTTGGTCATTTATTAATGTCACTCTTATCCATGAGAGACCAACAACTCCAAGAGAAGAAAGCCCAGCACACAGAGGAAAGTATTTCTAAACTCTTGTCGAATGAAAAAAGAAAAAAAAAAAACCACTTAGCCCAGAACCTTGACACAAGCCAAGCACTTTAAATGAGAGCTTGGCATTGTGCTCCGTGCTTCTGCAGAAGTGAGTCCTGCCCTGAAGCAGCTTAGAGTCTAGTGAGGGCAAAAAACACACGCAGAAGTAACTCTCCAACAGTGTGGAAGGGGGTCCGTAAGGCCTAGACAAAGTGCCCCTCCAGTTCTGACACAGCAGAGATCACCTCTTGACAAGGACAAGCCACAAAGGCTTTCCAAGGAGCAGTGGCATTAGAGAATCCACCCCCAAAGGGCCCCTCCTCACAGGAAATGGGTGTTGGCTGCTTATCTTTGGGGCCCAGAAGCCTGGCCTTAGGCAAGGACTACACCAGATCCATAATGCATGCTTTATTCATTTATTCATCCATCATTCACCAGACTTTTTTATTGAGCACCTAGTGGATGCTAGGCACTCTTCTAGATCCTGGAGGTCAATGAACAATACAAGGCAGCATCGCCCGGGGCAGGCCTCCGCAGTGGTATCCTGTTCATCAGCATCCAATTCACTCCTTTGGGACCTGGGCCCCTAACTTGGTCATCGTTGCTAATAAAAGTCAAGTCTTACCACTGGAAAAAAACCCACCTTCCTCCCCCAGCCTCTCCCCTAGTTTTGCTTCTGAGTAGCATACGGAGCACACTGCCTGATGGCTGCTTAATGCGAATTCTTGACATCTTGCTTAAGAATGTGAAAGCTGAAGGGAAAACTAAAAGACCTCTTGTACAAATAATCAGCTTAGAAGCAGATACTGGGGCCCACAGAGAAAATGACCTTTGACCAAGGTCATCAAGTGAACTAATTAAAGGCAAAGCCAGACTAGAGTCCAGGGGCCCCACCTCCCTGGCCTGGGTGCTTTTGATTGTTCAAAGAAATTTCCCATTCTCCTGTCCCCAGGAGCCGCAGGCCTCGCAAGCGCCTTTGGGACAAAGAGGGCCACCGAGGACCGAGGCTAGGGTCCTCACTCGGTCATAGTACCCACACAACAACATGGGGAGGACTTATTAAGCATCAGTCACTGTGATAAGCATTTTGCATGAATTATCTCAGTCAATTTCTCACAGCCAACCCTTTGAGTTGATACTAATGATGTTCCCCATTCCACAGATTACAAAACTAAGGCAGGAGCAGCATAGCAATCTGCCCAAAGTCCCAGGGCTGATCAATAAAAGAGAGAGCAGGGAGGCGAAGGAAAGAATGCACAGTAAACTAAGAGGTCGGCTACAATGGCCCCTACGAGCTTTTAACGGGTCACTGATGTACTAGAAATACCGACAAGCCCTGTACAACATCAACAGGGCTCCAGAGCTGGGTTTCCTGTAACTCTCCTCATAAACCTCTCTCCCCCTTCTCCTCCCTGGAGCAGTGCGTGAGGCCACACACGGAGCCTTTCCTTCAGCCAGAGCTGGGAGCCTTCGAGGAACCCGCACCTCCACCCTCGCCCAGCACCTCCAGGAGGCACAGGGCAGCTGGGGGAGGGGGTCGTGGGCGCGGACCTTCGCGGGTGGAGAAGAGCGGAAAGGGAACAAGAGGTGAAAACAGGGGCGGGGGGGGGGGGACCAGGAGGAGACAAGAGTGGCGAAGAAGGGGGACAAGAGGGGAGAAGAGAAGACTGGAAGGGACGAGAAGGGCAAGGGAGTTGGGGAGAAGGGAGAGGGGGCAGCAGCGGGGAGCCGGCGCCCTGAGCGCAGACAGCTGGCCGGGCGGAGACAGCGCGGGAGAACGCGAGCCCCGGCCGGACCCGAGCGGAGCGGGTACCTTTCGGAGGAAGCTGGCGACCACCTGCTCGAAGGGGTACTTGTACACCTGGTGCACGTCCACAGTGACCCCCATCCCCGCGCGCCCGCCACGCCTCCGCCAGCGCAAGACACCCGAGCTCCGCCCTGACCGCAGGCGTCCACACGCGGGCTGCCAAGGGGGCGTGGGGTTTTCCCTTCTTTTTCAAACTTTCGAAACTTTATTGTCCCCTCGGAGAAACAGACAAGCGGTCATGCCCCCGCCCTCTTCCGCCACGGTCCGGGATGGGCTGCAGGGCGCGGGAGGCGCACCGAGAGCAGGCGGGGTCCTGCTCCCCTCCGCCTGGTGGCGCCTGGAGGCGCCAGGAGCTACCTGGCCGGCCTGCAGACCGAAGTTTCTCGGCCCGGGAGCTGCCACGCCCTGAGCGGAGCCTTGGACTTTGGAACTTGTGCTTTAGTGTCATCACCTGGTCTGGGGCCACACTGTAAGCCTTAAGCTGCTGTTGGCGACCCTCAAAAAGTAACAAATACGGTAACTACTCACCCCCCAAGCTTAGGAGTAACATAACCCTCCTCCGTGTTAAGCACAGTGTGACAAAAGCCAACAACTGCGTTACTCACAGGACCCTGGCAGCTGGGTCTCAAGCGCAGTAAAAATTGCCTGTGTCACCTAAAAGTGTCCAGGAAGTAAAGAACTGGGCCTTAGCGTAGCTGGCTGCAAAACTTCCTATGTTTTTAAAGATTCAACACCACGGAGCAAGGAAAAAGGGGTACAAAAAGAATTTTGAGTATTCTTCACTCGGACAGTGCAGATTTTAGGAAAAGGAGCAAGTCAATCCATTCATTCGTATTACTTACACACACCTACTGTGCACCAAGCACTGTGGAACGGCGCTGGATTCAGCGGTATATAAAACAGTCAGTATGATGGGTAAGCCCAGCGACTGCACATCCAATGAACAGAATAGGAAAATAAACAGAATAATGGTTTGAAGTCACAGGGGGAAGGTAGGGCATGATGTTAGCTAGGATGAATAAGGAAGGTCTGTGAGGTGCTGACTTACATTTATATTTTTATAATCTCACTTGCCCCTGTCACACATGGGTCACATTTGTCTGGCAAGAGCCTAGCCTTGGATAAACCCAGCTGTCCAGTCACTCACTGCTTCACCCGAGCCTCTGAATTAGACTGCGGGAAAATACGCGCCCACTGTTGTCAGGCTTCTTTTGAATTCGTAGCCACTAACCTCAACGGGCTTTTTAATAGTGCTGGACAAAAATGCCACATTCGTCTAGTCCATTTTCTGTGCCACGGTCCTCCCACCCCAAACCACCGCCACCTCTCTTCCCTGCCTCATTCTCGAGTGCGTATCTTGCTTTCTTTTTCACTTAGTAAATAGGAAACCTCTCTCTACCACATCTTATCTACCCACCTGTCCTAATGCCCCGCCTTCTCTCCTGTTCTTCTGGATGAATTGTCGGCCCTTAACTGAGGGCCTGCCTCTCCACTTGGCCATTAAATCCAGCAGAGGTCTGGCAAATGGCTAGCGAACAGCTCTCGGGCCCCAATTTCTAATGCTTGCGGTTTCTGTGGTGTAACTACCCCACTATGGCCAATTTCAAACCACCGACCTGATGCCACTAAACGCAGCATTGGGAATACAAGTGCAGGCATGCACTGTTGTGTGGCATTTCCGCCTTCCACCTATAGCAGACATAACCACAAGAACATAGATCATGATAAAGGTAGTAACATCATTAGGAAGGGTGAGTTTTGAATACCTATTACCCTTTAAAATATAGTTAACCTAACCGTAAATTTATAAAATTTAATAATAGCTATACTTAACAACCAGCTGACAGGGTTTAGAACACAGTACCCGAAAATACGGCATCTTGGCATATGGAACATTTTAAGCAGAGGGAGTTTGAGAAAACAGAAGAAATAGAAGTTTCTCTCTGACCTTCGCTTCCCTTCTGTCCTGAAGCCTGTCATAAAACCTGCCTGCGAGAAGTGCCTGCCCTGTGCTAGGGAGAAAGGAGCACACTTCACTCCAGGGCAGAGGGTTCACAAAAAGAATCGCAACAAACAGGACTTGCTACATTTCCCCCAGTTTATTACACTTCCCTCATACTATTTGTCCTATCATATTCCTACATGACTGTCCACTTTTCATCAAACTCAGAATAAAAACACTTCGGTTTCACCATTTCTACAGGACTGTATTTCTTTACAAAGGTTCCTTATCAGATAAAACTTATGGTAAGCAAATAATTCATGCTTTTCTCCTACTTACATGTCGTTGGTTTAATTTTCAGACCCAGCCAGGGACCTTCAGAGGGTCAAAGAAAACTTTTTTCTCCCCTACACAGCAATATGGCATCACTAAAATTTCCTTGTCCTCTTTCTTATTCAAGGACATCTCTCTAGTACTATCTCCCCCTCTTTCTTACATCCTCAGTTTTGCCTCTACTGGATCAGTCTAAACAGCGCACAAGTACACTGTGATTTCTCCTGCCTTAAAAACATCTACTCTTAACCCCCTATCTTCCTCCAGCTCTCTTCCACTTCTCTGCTCCATTTTGCACCTCAGAAAAGTTGCCTATAATCTCTTGAACCTATGAAATTTGGGCCCCTGCCACTCCACTGAAACTATGAATGTCAAGGTCAACAATTGCTAAATTGCTAAATCCAATACAGTCATACGCCACTTGGGGAGATGTTCTCAGAAATGTGTCCTTAAGCAATTTTGTTGTGCAAACACAGTAGAGTTCACGTAGACAAACCTCAGCGGGATAACCGACCACACACGTGGCCTATTGCTCGTAGGCCACAACTGGCACAGCGTGTTACTCTGCAAAATAGCATGAGATTAAAATCAAGCACAAGAAAAAACAGCGCCATCAAAAGACGTGGTAAACACGAGATGTGTGAGGCTGCCCCCAGCATTGCACGGCAATACTGTTTTCCAGGACACTTATTTTATATAATTAGAAAGAGTATGCTCTAAAATAAGGATAAAAAGGATAGTCAATACAGGAACCAGTAACATAGCTGATTATTATCATTTTTCAAATATTATGTTTACACCAGCATCCCCCAAAGCACATGAGTAATGTGTTGCGCTGGAACATTATGATGGCTGAGACGTCACTAGGCAATAGGAATTTTTCAATTCCATTATAGTCTATGGGACCACCATTGTAAACACAATCCATCATTGACAGAAACACTGTTAATGGGCATATGGCTGTATGCCCTTTAATCCCCACCTTACTAAACCTGTGGGCAATATTTGTTTAAGGACTGGGGTAGAGCTTTAGGTGCCAAAGCCATTGTATGTTGAATGTATGAATAACGTAACTGTACTGTATCATCAACCCCTCCTGACAGGAAAAAAAAAAATCCTCCCTGGGGACCACACTGGCTCATACAGGAGAGATAATTTACTTGCTGGAGCTTAAGGTGCCTGTACCTGACTCTACTACCAGAGCAGCTGAAGACTGAGTGTGAAACACAAGTCCCCTGCCAAGCTGGTTCCTGTGCCCTGCTCCACCGTGACCACCGATTTCACCCAGAATGCATCCTTGGGCAGCTGCTTGCCAGCTCCCAATTAACTGGCCAGAAAACACCAAGGTTGTGTCCTGAAGGATTAAAGGACCTAGCACCTGTTGGCTCTATTTGGCCTGGTTGGCTGAGTGACCAGTGTAAGAACAAATGCCACTACTCATTTCAAAGACACTGGGGCGCTCAAGGTTGAGACGTGTCCAGGCTGGTCTCTGCATCCAAATTTCCCCTTTTTATAAGGACACCCACCATATGGGATTGAGGCCTGCCCTACCGATCTCATCTGTTTACAGGCAGAATTTTGCTCCCTCAAAATTCACATATTCAAGTTCTAACCCCAGTACTTCAGAATGGGGCTATATTGGGAGGTCAGGCCTTTAAAGAGATAATTAAGGTAAAATGAGGTCATATGGGTGAGCTCTCATCCAAAAGGACTAGTGTCCTTGGAAAAAGAGGGGATTAAGACACACTTGAACAGAGGGAAGAGCATGTGAAGACAGAGAAGACGCCCACCTGCAAGCTGGCGTGAGAGGCCTCAGAAGAAACAGCACCTGTTTTTCCTTTTTTTTTAGCGTTAGGAGATGTAGTATATATGAGTTTATATCCTTTTGTTATGTTCTGTAACAAATCAAGAGCATTATCCTCAAAAATATTATTTTAATATTAATTATATACCATTACATAAATGAACCATAATTTTACATTATTTTTGTATCTTTTAAATTTTATAACTCTCGCTGTCATGGAAATCCTTGTGGGTAAATTTTCGTCAGCATGTTTTATTGCTATTTAGTTATTTATTTATTTATTGAATTTATTAGGGTGATAATGTTTAATAAAATTATATAGGTTCCAAGTGTACAATTCTATATTACATGATCTGTATATTGTATTGTGTATTTGCCATCCAAAATCAAGTCTCCTTTCATCATCATTTATCCCCCTTTACCTTCTTTTACCTGCACCCATCCCCCCTTCCCTCTGGTTATCACTATGCTATGTGTGTCTATGAGTTTTGGGATTGTTTGTTTGTTTGTTTGTTTGTTTGTTTTGCTTAATCCCTTCACCTCTTTTCTCCCAGGCCCCTCATCCCCTCCCCTCTGACAGCTGTCAGTCTGTTTTCTGTGTCTATGAGTCTGTTTCTATTTTATTTGTTTATTTTGTTCATTAGATTCCACGTATAAGTGAAATCATATGGTGTTTGTCTTTCTCTGACTGGCTTATTTCACTTAGCGTAATACTCTCCAGGTCCATCCATGATGTCACAAAAGGTAAGATTTCCTTTTTTTATGACTGAATAGTAGTCCACTGTGTAAATGTACCACAGCTGTTTACCCAGTCAGCTACCGAGGGGCGCTTGGGCTGGTTCCAGATCTTGACTATTGTAAATAATGCTGCTATGAACGTAGGGGTGCATGTATTCTTTCGAATTAGTGTTTCAAGTTTCTTTGGATATATTCCCGGAAGTGGAATCCCTGGATCATAGGCAGTGCCATTTTGAATTTTTTGAGGGATCTCCACACTGCTTTCCCC